TTAAGAGATTTTCCAGCATTAGGGTTAGGGTGTTTAAGCACTTGATACATTCATTCCATTCCTGACAATTAACTTAACAAATATTCCTACCGTGATCTAGGGTTCAAGATATATTTTCCAATCATACCACAAACATCAAGAATAAATCATTCCAAAGCATAAAGGATAAGAATAACAACATCAAAGCATAGATTAATATCTCAAAATATCACCATGATACAAAAGAGTTCAAAGGAAGTGCACCGAATCCTAAGAGAATGAAGTTAGTCACTCATGTTGGCTATTACAATGCTCCAATTGATGAAGAAGTGAAGAATTGATGAAGATTAGGCGAAACCCTAACAGTAGTCGTGTCTCCTCTTCTCCAAGACTGCTTGCTTTTCTCAAAATACACTTATCTTTTTATAAGACAATTTGGATCGGGCCTCACATCATTCATTCTCTTAAGCGTTCTTCTTTCTTCAATTTTACTCCAATTATGCTCCTTACTCTTATATCAAGGTATTCTCGAATTCATCCTATATTGGGAGAAAAATATATTAGAATTAACATAAGTTAAATGGTTTCATAACAATTTAAGGCATAATTATATCAATTTTTTACCACTTAACAATCTTAAAAGAGACAAAGTCAGAGAGACATGGTTAGAGAAACAGAGTCAGAGAGTCATAGTCAACATCTTAAGAGAGACAGGAACCAAGAAACAAAGTCATAGTCAACATCTTAAAGGAGAGAAAGAGTCAATATCTTAAATGAGAGATAAAGTCAGAGTCAACATCTTAAAGAAGAGACAAAGATAGAGTTAGCATCTTAAGAGAGATAAAGGGTTAGAGTCAACATCTTAAGAGATAGGGTCAGAATAACAGAGTTATAGAGACAAAGTTAGTGTTAGAGGGATAGAGTTAGAGAGACAAAGTCAGAGAGTTAAAGTTATAATCTTAAGAGAAAGACAATGTGATAATCATTATCTTAAATGAGAGACAGAGTCAAAATCAACATCTTAATAGAAAGACAAGGTTAAAGAGATACAATCAATATATTAAGAGAGAGACAAAGTCAGAGTCAGCATCTTAAGAGAAATAAGGTTAGAGAGACAAATTTAAAGTCAACTTCTTAAGAGAGATAGAGTCAAAGAGAGAGTACGATAGTTAAAGTCACAAGGATAGAGTAAGAGAGACATATCGAAGTCTGCATCTTAAGAGAGAGAGACAGAGTTAGAGTCAACATCTTAAGAGAGATAGAGTCAGAGTCAACGTCTTAAAGAAAGACAGAGTCAAAGTCCACATCTTAAGAGAGACATAATCAGAGTCCATATCTTTAGAGAGACATGGTTAGAGTCAACATATTAAGAGATACATGGTCAACATCTTAAGAGAGACAAAGTCAACATCTTAAAGACAAATAATGTCAAAGTTAACATCTTAAGAGAGGTAGGGTAAGAGTCAACATCTTAAGATAGGTAAGGGCAGAGTTAGCATCTTATGAGAGCAGTGTCAAAGTCAACATCTTAGTAGAGATAGAGTTAGAGTCCACATCTTAAGCAAGACATTATCAACATCTTAAAGAGAGATATGTTAAGATTAAACATCATCTTAAGAGAGATTCAGAGTTAGAGTCAGCATCATAAAGAGAAACAAAGTTAAAGTTAGCATCATAAGAGAGATAGGGTCAGAGATCGCATCTTAAAAGAGATAAAGCCAGAGAGACAGAGTTAGAGTTAACATCTTAAGAGAGACAGTCTCAAAGTTAACATCAAAAGAGAGAAAAACTCAGAGTCAACCTCTTAAGTGATGTAGAGTAAGAGTAATCATCTTAAAAGATATGTAGTCAGAGTCATCATCTTAAGAGAGACAGGGTCATTGAGACAAAGTAAACATCTTAAAGAGAGACACATTCAGAGCCAACATCTTAAGAAAGACAGAGTCAGAGTCAACATCTTAAGAGAGATAATGTCAAATTCATCATCTTAAGCGAGATAGAGTAAACATCTTAAAGAGAGAGAAAGTCAAAGTAACATCTTAAGAGAGAGACAGAGTCTGAGTCGACGTCTTAAAGAAAGACAGAGTCAGAGTTAGCATCTTAGAAGAGAGACAAAGTCAAAGTCAAAGTCAACATCTTAAGAGTTGTATAGTCAGAATCAACATCTTAAGAGGGACATAGTCAAAGTCAGCATCTTAAGAGAGACAAAGTTAGTGAAATAGAGTTAACATTTTAAGAGAGACAAAATCAAGATCTAAACAAGTCGAGTCAACATCTTAGAAAAGAAAAAGTCAAAGTTAGCATCTTAAGAGTGACAGAGTAGGAGTCAGCATCTTAACCGAGCCCGAGTTAACATCTTAAGAGAGATGTATAATCAGAGTCAACATCTTAAAAAGAGACAGAGTCAGAGACAAAATCTTAAGATAGTAAAAGTCACCATCTTAAGAGAGATAAGATCATATTTAGCATGTTAAGAGAGACAGGGTCAGAGTCAACATCTTAAGCGAGCCAAGTCAACATCTTAAGAGAGATGTAGAGTTAGAGTTAACATCTTAAAGAGAGATATAGTCAGAGGCAACATCTTAAGAGAGACAGAGTCAGAGTCACCATCTTAAGAGAGGTAGGGTCAGAATCAACATATTAAGAGAGGCAGGGTTAGAGTCAACATCTTAAAGAGAGTCAGAGTTAGCATCTTTAAGAGAGACAGGGTCAAAGTCGACATTTTAAGAGAGATAGGGTCAGAGTCAACATCTTAAGTGAGACAGGGTCAGATTCATCATCTTAAGAGAGATAAGATTTGAGTTAACATCTTAAAGAAAGATAGAGAAAAAGTTAACATCTTAAAGAGAGACAAAGTCAGAATCACCATTTTAAAGAGAGATAGAATTAGAGTCAACATCTTAAAAGGAGACAGAGTCAGAGACAACATTTTAAGAGATGCATAGTTAACATCTTTAAGAGAGAGACAAAGTTAGGGTTAACATTTTAAAGAGAGGCTTAATCAACATCTTGAAGAGAGGTAGAGTCAACATCTTAAGGAGAGGAAAAGTCAACATCTTAAAGAGAGACAGAACAAACATCTTTAAGATGGACAAAGTTAGTGTTAGAATCTTAAAGAGATACATAGTCAAAGTCAACATCTTAAGAGAGACAAAGTTAACATCTTAAAGAGAGAGTCGTAATCAACATCTTAAATAGAGGCAATGGTAGAGTCAATAACTTAAATAGATGCAGAATAGGAGTCAACATCTTAAAGAGAGAGTCAGAGTTAAAGCTTAAAGAGAGGCAGTGTCAGAGTCAACATCTTAGAGAGAGAAACTTTAAACTTCTTAAAAAAAGATATAGTCAACATCTTAAAAAGAGACATAGTCAACATCTTAAATATAGACAGAGTTGGATTGGAGTCAACGTCTTAAAGAAAGACAAAGTTAGAGTCAACATCTTAAAGAGAGACATGATCATTAAAGAGAAAATGAGTCAGAGTCTACATCTTAAAGAGAGACAAAGTTGTTAAAAAGATATAATGTTATAGTCAACATCTTAAAGTGAGATAGAGTCATTAAAGAGAGACAGAGTGAGAGTTAACATCTTAAAGAGAGATATAATCATTAAAGAGAAACAAATACAAAATTAACATCTTAAAGAGAGACATAGTCATTAAAGAAAAACAAAGACAGAGTTAACATCTTAACAAAGAGCACAATGAACCTCTTAACAGACCGATAGAGTCAGATTTCGTAGAGTCAGGGTCAACATCTTAAAGAGAGCAGAGTCAACATCTTAACAAGGATAGAGAGAGAATCAACATCTTAAAAAAAGACAAAGGCATAATCATCATTTTAATAGAGACAAAATCAAAGTCAATATCTTAAAGAAAAGTAGAGTGAATATCTTATCTTAAAAAAAAAAAAAGAAAGAGACATAATCAGAGCCAATATTTTAAAGAGAGACATAATCAGAATCAACATCTTAAAGAGAGATATACTCAGAATCAACATCTTAAAGAGTGACATACTCAAAATTAATATTTTAAAGAAAGACAGAAGGCAGGTCAATATCTTAAAAGAGAGACAAAGACATAGTCAACATCTTAAAGAGAAACAGAGACACAATCAACATCTTAAAAAAAAAACAAAATCAACAACATTTTTAATGAGACAAATGTATATTCAATATCTTAAAAGGAGACAAAATCAATATTAAAAAAAAAAAACAAAATCAACATCTTAAAAAAGATAAAAAACATTCTATATCTTACAAAAGGAACAAAGCAAGTAAACATCTTAAAAAGAGGCAAACCAGAATTTATGTTCTATAGTTTCATCCACGTTCTTTGCCAGCCTAAGATATTTTGAATCAATATAAGGTGATGGTAAAATGCAAATGCATACAGGAAAAGAACATCTAGTAAAGGATGTCCAAGCAAAAACTCTTATCTGAACCACCGGTCCGTCCTTGGCTGCGATGCGAGGAAGGGATGGGGAACGACGCTGAGGGGCTAGCAGAGATAGAACCAGTCATGATGTGATGTAGCTCAGGGCTTAGCACCCATCCCAATCATGATAGAAATCTCATGTTTCCTTCCCACGAAACCCCTTATCAGCGTCAGATGTCAGACACACACCACTCTTTGAAGTCTCTCATGACTCATCCAAAATGAGACAATCCATTAGGGAGACTTTTTCCGATGTACCTGCTTACGTCCCAATTCTTCTCACCACTCCTCAAGCATGTAGCCAAGACATACTTACTGCTAAATCTAAGTTTGTTAATAAGCCTATGTAACAGAAATAAACAATAAAAATAATAGCAAAAATTACAAAAAAATAATAATAAAATTTAAATTTGTTTAAGAAACTTTGTTTTGCCAAAAAAAAAAAAATATAACAGTAAATATAAACTAAAAAAAATACATTAATGAAGTCTGATGGAATAAAAAGTCTCATGAAAAGTTTGAGTTAAAAATAAAAAGTCTCATGAAAACAAATCCATAAGAGTCAGTTTTAACAGAAAGCAAATACATGCAAAACAAACCTTCAAAGGTGTGTGAGTAGATGTGGGTTAAAAAACATTTAAGATATTAAAAAAAAAAAAAAAAAAATCTTCTGACATTGTTTGAAGAAAGTAATTATTTGCAAAATTTATTCACGTGGATGCGATTATTATTAATTTCTAAATTTATTTAGACAAAAAAAATTATAATATTTTTTAACTTAAAAAAACAGGTATATAAAGATAAAACTTAATATTAATCGCATTTCAACCATTGAAAAAAAAAAAAAGTAAGACCGGTAGAAGAAGATAAAAATAGAAAACAAAAATCTAAAAAAATTATATTTTTTAAAACTAAAAAGATAAAAAAAATGAAGCATAACTTATTAACGTGGGCTTAAACAATTTATTATCCAAAAACTTCGAACCAAGAGAAAACTGAATTTTCAATTTTTTAAAGGACACGAAGCAATGACACATTTAAATAAAGGAAGAAATATACCTACATGTTCTCACACAGAATGTTTAGATATAAGAAATGTGTTGGTTTAAAATTCAGAAATGATTCAAAATTTCATTGATGTAAAAAATATTTAAATTTAAAATTTATAAAGTCATAAAAAATAAATTTTAATTATAAATTATTTATTACTTAACTTATTTTTCAATATCTTAAAATTTATAATGTAATTTTTTAAAAATATAATGTATTAAATTATATTATTGAATAATTTAAATATATTTATACTAAAAAATAATTTATTGAAAGTAAAAATTGTTATTATTATTAAAAAATTAATTATTAATTTTCTTTAAAAAAATGATATATATATATATATATATATAATTAAAAAATTTAACTTATCTCTATAAAATTTTTCCTAACTTAATGATTAATCATTTAATAGGATAATTAAATAACTTTAAAAGAAAATAATGACAATAAAAGGGATTCAAGTGGGAGATAAAATGGAAGGAAAAATAGATGAAGGAAAATTGGAGAGAGATAAAGAGGGAGGGGAAACAAAGGCCGAGAAGAGAAGAAGATAATAAATGAAATCTATCTCTGAAATTTTGGTACATGTAATTATTGAGTGAGTGATATCTCTTTTATTTTTAATTATAATTGTTGAATGAGGTGATCTGATTTCAAGTAAATTTATTTTATCTTTAATTATGTACTATTTTATATTTAATTTATTTATTTTTAGTTATACATTAATATTTTATTTATGTTCAGTTACATATTAATTCTATTTTATATTTATTTTATTTATTTATAGTTATTTACGGGTCATGTTTTATATTTATTTAGTTATATCTAGTTATGTACTGATCATATTTTATTTATCTTTAATTTTTTAATTATTTTATTTCTAGTTACATACTAGTCTTTGTTTATTAATTTATATTTATATTACTTAATTATTTTTAAATAATAATATTTATTTAGAAATATTTGATAATGTTGTATATGGAAGTTAAACCTTAAGAATTAAAATGAGTAGATATCACTTAGAGAGTGATTAAAATTAAATTAATTTATTCTGACTAATCATTATAAATTTAATTCAAATATTCTTACTATAAAATAAATGTAATATGTGATGAAATTGAAAAGATAATTTTATATTTTATTTTGATATTATATTATTTTACATTATAATCATCCCCACTCTTTATTATTATCTCTTATGTATTTTACAACTAAAATATTAATATAAATAAACATAGACATTAAGATAAAAGACATTTATCATTGATAAATCATCCACTTTTTAAAAACAATATTTATTTATTTTAATAAAAATATTTATTTATTTTAATAAAAAATATTTATTTATGATATAGAAATCATATAAACTTAAAGTTTATATATTTATAAATATAAATATTAATAAAAAATAATCATCTGAAAATATACTTAAATGAAATACGACATATACATATATACATCACAAATTTTACGATGAACTAAAATTATTATAATAAATAATTATAAAATATTATTTTTATACTAATAAAAAAATAATTGATATTCTAATAAATAAAATATATTCAAAATATCTTAAAAAATTAAATATATAAAATATAGACACACCAATTTGAGAGAACGAGAATATTGAGATTTTTTTGTTTTTATAAAAATCGCTATACAGATTATGTAATATTTAGTTATGATATGTTAATTAATGTTCTAGTTTTCTAATAAGTACAATTTAATATTTCACAGATAAATTATATATATATATATATATATATATATTCTATTTTATATAAGAGAATTAATATATATTTCAGATTATAATATAATATAATACAGTGAGTCTATATGAGAATCAATTAGGATCATTATTCATGGGTCTTTAATTACAATTAATGATATAATTCGCACAAAGTATTATTTAGGCTATGTGTATGATCATGATTCAGGATCTAACTCTTCTCCAAAATAGAAAATATTACCAAGTTTTATTTTTTCAACTTATAAACGTGCAGTACAAGAATATAATTGTTATATTTTCGATTCCCAATTTATGCAATTCTGTAAAACTCCGTAAATATTTGGAACATGTTTTTTTGTGTTGTAATGTGACATGGCTAAACTGCTAGCAGAGTTGTAACAAAGATATATATATATATATATATATATTTTAACTTTTTCAGTTTATAAAATTGTTTTAAATACTCTTTGTCAATAATACTTTTTGAGTTTGTCAAAGACGCTGTGCTTTGTTATTACTTTTGGAAGAAAACTTAAAGAGACATAAAAATAAAGAATTTTTTTTTATCATGTTTATCATTCGTTTGATAAAACAATTATTTATCTTTCGTTCACTTCTCTGCCTTTCACGTGTTTATTTATGAATGTCCAATTTTCCTAAATCCAATCGTTGAAGTACGATGCTAGGTTTTAGCGAGAGAGAACTGAAGGTCCATTGTCCAAGTGGATATAGCCACGTCAAGAAGGTTAAAAAGAATACAAAAAGTTGCACGCAGGGAAGTTATTGTATTCAATAAAAGAATAAGAAAAATTTAAGGGCCACTTTTTAAAACAAAATTTAATGTTTGATGTTATTACTAAAATTTTAAAATTCAATTAAAATATCATAGTGCACGATAAATTATATTATCATTTAATATATACCTAATAATGTATTATTTATTATAAATTATTATGTATACTATTGTTGACTTTGTAATATTTTAAAAATTATATTGAAAACGAGTTTTAATTAATTGATATCAGATGTTTTTACACTAAACATTAAAATTAATTTAGGGTTTAATTTTATACATTATAAATTTATTTACATTATCAAATAATTAAACTCACTCTAAAATATTTTTTTTAAAGATTATTACAAAACAAATTTAATATATATATATATATATATATATATATATAATATGGTCTGATAATAATTTAACAATTCTTTATATTGTTAAAAATTTGCATTTTATTATAATATTTATTGAGTTTTTTATGTTTATCAATTCTTTATCTGATATTCTTAATACTATATTCAGTGTTCAATCACGATTCACACGAGTATCAATTTTTTTGCTAAGCACAATGTTGAAGTATTTAAACGTAGCTAATACTTTGTACCAACCATATGAATATATTCGTGAAATATTTTTATTGTTAAAATATTTAAATAAGTATTTTTTATAAAAACGTCAATAAATATTAATATAAATTCAAGTTCTATATTTAGACAGATTGAAATAATTGATGCGAATCGAACATGATATAATTTGCTTTATTTATTTTCAAAATGGATACATATTTTAAAAAATTTGTATATAGGTAATTGATACTTTAATATACAATTCCATCATGAAGTCATAAATGAAGGTGCAATTCATGTAATAATTTTTTTTATGAAATCGTGTTCTAATCAACGATTTTTGCATAATTTTTTTAAATTGAGGTCATCCATGGATTGACGACGTTAGTAATTTAACTAGTTTATACTGGAGTTATAATTATTGAAATAAAAAATGTAAAATAGATAATTATTACGATGATGACATTCATTTGATAAAATAAATATTTTTTTTTGGTTTATTTGAAATAGGTTTATTCATCTCATTGTGAATATGATATTTATTGCTAATTTTCTTAATTATTGTTAATATAGACTTAGATTAAGAACAAATTTTGGATTTAAATAAGAAGATTAATAATCTTTATTAAAAAAACAGTTGAAACTGTACCTTTTCAGCCTTGTAAATAATTTGTAATTTATATACTGACTTAATATATGTGTAAGTGATAATACATTAAAATTTTTCATAATCACATTTAAAATATTAGTTAAAGTCATCTATCAATTGGCGATTTTAGTAAAAAAATTTAACCAAAATTGTCCATCAATTGGCAATTTCAATATTAAAAAATAAATTTCAACTAAAGTTATTATTTAGAAGACGAGTTCAATAGTAATAATAATAAAATCGTATATTTAAGTACCATTTAAAAAAAATGAGATATGATATTCATGTTTGAAGAAGTTAAAATTGTCTTTCATAAAGAGTAATATATAGATGCACGACTTACGCAAATTTTTTAAAAATTTAACCATGAGAATAATAAACGCAAATTGCAGCGTGGGGAAATTGGCCAATAATTGAAACCACTTATATTATAGTTGATTGAATTGGATGAAATATGCATTATGATGAAAGGGCAGCTTGACAATGTAACAAGACACAAATGACAGCTAACTATATAACGTGGCGGGGACAGAAAGTTGGTGTTTGGTGAGAGAAAAAAGGAACAAGAATATTCACTATTATTCCTAGTCTAAATAAATTGGTGTAGGAGCAGTGTGTTCAGTTACTTGTTTGAGAGTGAGGGTGAGGAAAAAGGAAGAGAAACATCATAAGATATATAGTTTCTGATTCTGTTCATTGATGGCAGGGCCATTGAGACCTCAGATTGTGTTATTCGGGTCATCCATAATTCAAATGAGCTTCGATAATGGTGGTTGGGGGGCTATTCTAGCTAATTTGTATGCTAGAAAGGTCCTTCTTTAATTCTCCTTCTTTTTTATTCAAATTGTCTAAACAAATTCCATATTATTCTGTTTCTGATATCCTCTGAACAAGCCAAACAGATATTATAAAAATGAAATTTCAACCACTAAATTACTAAAATTTACTAATAATAACTTATAAATAAATTATATTTATATACAAATAAATATATATACATGTAAATATATAAATATAAATATATTTATATATTTTAATATATTTATATAGTTATATTTATATATTTATATGTTGCATGTAAAAACACGTTCGAAGGTGAAAGTGTGTATTGAGTGGGTTTTCAAAATGTGATGCCAAATTTGTGAACTGGTCTTTTTATATGAGTTTGTAATTTAATGACAGAATATAATCTTTATAATTTATTTATATAATGATATAAAATAAATTTGAGAAACGCCTCATTCGCTCAAGCGAAAAATACTAATTTTCGCTCGAGCGAGACTTGAGCGAGTTAATTTCCGTAAACTTTAACATATTTTTACTCAAACGAGAATCAATCTCACTTTGACCCTCGAAGTGCGCCCTTACATCCAACATATAAAATATATAACTATATAAATATATCAAAAAATATAAATAAATTTGTATTTATATATTTTATATTTATATATTTACAAGGATATATATTTATTTGTATATAAATATAATTTATTTGTAAGTTATTATTATAAAATTATAGCAATTTAGTGGTTGGAGTATCGGTTTTCAACTCTAAAATATTGGATTCGAATCTTGTTAGTAACAATTTTTAACTTAAGTGAATTTTTGGCTGAAAAAAAAAACTTTCAATATCGATTTATCCGGAAATCCGGATAATACTTTCTATTTAGAATTTAACTTTAAACGAGGATGTGAAAAACATATTTTAGTAGTGCATGTAATAAGTATATAGTGTTTAGATCTTGATGCAATTACACACCAAAAAGACTTCTGACACTTGTGTATAAAAACTCTGAAAAATGTTTAACTACTATGATGAGGTCAATTGTAATGATTTGATACTAATTGATTGCATGTTGATGGATAACTTTTATATAGATAGATAGATAGGTATCTGAATGTATATACTTTTTTTGTCATTATTGATGGTGAATGAATCTGAATTATATAATGTTGATATGGTGACATAGGCGGATGTAATCTTGCGTGGATACTCAGGATGGAATTCAAGAAGGGCTTTGGAAGTTTTGGATGAAATTTTTCCTAAGGTAGAGATAAAACGCCATGTTCAATTGAAGGCCTCATCAGAAGATTCCTTTCTTTAATAATTTGCGTTTAATATATATATATATATATATATATATATATATATATATATATATATATATATATATATATATTCTCTCCTCCATTCACCCATGACATGCAACATCTCTTGACATGGTCTATGGAAGGTTGGATCCTAACTTTATAAGGATGTTGTAAGTTAAAATTTAGAAGTTTGAACATGTTTTTGGTTTTTGATAAATTATTAATTTTTAAGTGCGGTCCTTACTCAATACTTAATTTTTTGAGAATTTTTAATAAAATGCGTTTCATTTAGTCTCTCCTTTTAAGAAGAGATGCTCAAGAAAGTTAAACCAAAATACGACCTAAATGTCTTGACACTTTGGACTTGTCTTTGTTCCATATGGTTTGTGTTATCTTCAAATCTGGCTATGATTCTTGCTCATGGTGGTGAGATAGATATACGAAGAATGACTTTTTGTTAATTTATTGTCTTGAGCATAGGATGCTCTAGTGCAACCATCCTTGGTGATTGTGTACTTTGGTGGTAATTGTTAGGAACAAGACAATAATAAAGGAAAGAATAAAGGAGAGAAAAATAAACGACACAAGAATTTTAACGTGGTTCGGCTAAAATATGTATGCCTACGTCCACGACTACACTAGGAAGTATTTTTATTTCTGTGTGTATCTCAAACTTTACATAGGGTTGCTTATATAACAAAATAGAGAACCTCATCTCACAATCCTAATCGATGTGGGACTAAATCAAGCACCATAATACTAACAATTCTCCCACTTGGAGTTTGATTTACGTTACCACCTAGTGTAGTGCCTTCATCATCAATTTGCTCGAAGGCCAGTTGAGGCAATGCAAAGCCTCAACTTAGTTGTTGTAACAGTCTTGGTCAACATATCACGGGATTCTCTCGCCTGGAATCTTCAACAAACTCAAGTCTCCATCATTTATCGGGTTTCGATAAAATGATACTTCAATTCAATGTGCTTACATCCGGAATGAAGGATTGGATTTTTAGCAAGACAAATAGCACTTTGATCGTCACTAAACAACGGAGAACCATCTTGTTCTCTTCCTAATTCTTTTAGAAGGTTCTTCAACCATATCATCTCCTTTGTCGCTTCGAGATAGCTACATACTCGCTTCAGTGGTTGAGAGAGAGACCCTTCATTGAAGTTTAGACTTCCAACCGATAGCTGTACCACCCAATGTAAAAATATAACCTGTTGTGCTCTTTCTACCGTCAAGATCACCTCCCAAGTCTCGCATCGGAAAACCCCGTAAAATGAGATTACTTCTCTTGAAAGACAAATGCATCTTTGAAGTGCCTTTCAAATATCTCGAATATCCACTTCACTCCTTCCCAATGCTCCTTTCCAGGATTTGATAGAAATCTGCTCACAACTCCTACTGCATGTGCTATGTCTGGTCTGGTGCAAACCATAGCATACATCAAGCTTCCTACTGCAGATGCATATGACACTTTAGACATGTGACTTTCTTCTTCTTCTGTTTGCGAAGATTGCCTTTTTGAAAACTTTAAGTGAGTTCCCAAAGGTGTATTCCTGGTTTTAGCATTCCCAACATTGAATCTGCTAAGCAATTTTTCTATATATTTTTCTTGAGATAAGTTCAAAATACCTTTATCTCTATCTCGGGAGATTCTCATACCAAGAATTTGCTTGGCTGGACCAAGATCCTTCATTTCAAAGCTCTCTGACAATTGTTTCTTCAACTTGTCAATTTCTGCCATATTAGCTCCAACAATCAACATGTCGTCAACATATAAGGCAAGAATGATATAGCTATCAACATATTTCTTCACATAACAACAGTGATCTTCTTCACATCTGCGAAATCCTGAGTTTCTCATAAACTCATTAAACTTCTTGTACCATTGTCTCGGCGCTTGTTTTAATCCGTACAAACTTTTATGAAGCTTGCATACAAGATTTTCTCCGCCTTGTACTTCAAAACCTTTTGGCTGTGTCATAAAAATTTCCTCTTCAAGATCCCCATGTAAGAATGCAGTTTTGACATCTAACTGCTCCAAATGAAGATTTTCTGCAGCTACTATACTCAAGATAACTCTGATGGTAGTCATCTTGACAACAGGAGAGAAAATTTCTGTGAAGTCAATTCCTTGTCTTTGTTGGAACCCTTTCACTACGAGTCTAGCCTTATATCTTTTGCTCGCCATCCGGTTCTTCTTTCAACCTATAGACCCACCTGTTTTGCAAAACTTTCTTTCCTTCCGGTAGCTTGGTTAAAGACCATGTTTTATTCTTCGAAGGGACTTTATCTCATCTTCCATTGCTAGCTCCCACTTAATAGATTCATCTCCCTGCATAGCCTCAGCAAAATGCTCGGCTCACCAAGCATCGATCAACAACAAATAATGCAATGAAGGGGAATACCTTTGTGGTGCTACAATTGTTACGCTAGATCTTCTAACCAAGATTTCGGGAGTTGCTTGACTCTACTTATTTGTTCGAGTTACGTCTCGAGGCTCGACATAGGCTCTACTTGTATATTACGCCTTCGGTTGACTACATCACTTTCGAAATTTCTTCTAATGATACTTGCTCTAGTTGTTTATTTACATTTGCAGATTCTGCAATCCTGTCTCTATAGAACATGTTTTCATTAAAAGTAACATTTCTACTTCGATAATTTTCTTGTTTTGGTCATCCCAAAACACGTAGCCAAACATGTCGGATCCATAACCAATGAAATGACAACGTTTTGCCTTAGGGTCCAATTTATCTCTACTATTAGAGTCTAACATAACATATGAAGCACAACCAAAAACTTTCGGATGTGAAAGATTTACCTCTTTTCGAGACCATACTTCTTCGGGTAACTTATAGTCTAAAGGAACTGATGGTCCTCTGTTTATGAGATAAGCTGCTTGTGCTTATTGCATCCGCCCAAAATACCTTGGGTAATCCTGATTGGATTCTCATACATCTTGCTCTCTCATTCAAGGTTCTGTTCATTCTTTACGCCACACCGTTTTGTTCCGGTGTTCCTGGAACTGTCTTGATCATTCCGATCCCATTCTCCGAACAAAACTCCTTGAATTGACTACTGTCATATTCTCCACCATTATCGAGACTTCAAACATTTGACCTTTAAACCTGATTGAGTCTCAACCTCCTTTTTCCACCTTTTAAACACGAGAAAACACATCGATTTATTTTTAAGAAAATAAACCCATACCTTTCTTGTAGAGTCATCAATGAAGGTTACATAATATTGTGAACCTCCGAGGGATTTCACTGAAGCTGGCCCCAAACATCTATATGCACTTAGTTCTAGTCTTTCAACTTTAGACGACTTACTTGTTTTTGAGAAGCTAACCTTTTTACGCTTTCCAAAGATACAATGTTCGCAAGGTCCAACGTCAACATGCTTCACGTTAGGTATTTTACCTTTTGATATCATGAGCTTCATTCCTTTCTCACTCATATGCCCAAGCCTCTGATGCCATAAGGAGGAATTGTTGCCAACTTCTGCAGCTGATATCATATCCTCATCTGCAATCATGTGAGAGATCCTTGCTTCTTTCCACGAGCAACAACAAGATTACCTTTCATTACCTTCCAATGTCCATCTCCAAAAGTGGTGTAATGTCCCTCATCATCCAAGCTGCCCTATAGATATTAAGTTTCTCTTTAAGGTTGGAATATGTCGACATTATTCAAAGTCCACACGTTTCCATTAGAGGTTCGATGTTAATATCACCTCTTCCTATGATATCAAGAGATTTTCCATCTGCAAGGTAGACCTTCCCAAACTTTCCGAAACATAGTTAGATAATAGTTCTAAGGAAGGTGTAGTATGAAATGACGCACTTGAGTCCATAATCCATGAGTCAATAGAATTATCTAAACTACATAACGAGTGCATCTTCAACTTCATCGATTCTTTGCATTTGTCGATTGATCATCATCTTGCTTCTTGTTGTTGTTGTTGTCCTTCTTTGGAGCCACTGCACTGATTTGAAAAGTGGCCCTTTTTCGACAATTCCAACAAGTGATATCATTCAGGACTTTTGCTTGTGATCTCCCTACGGATTTTGATCTGCCTCGGCCTTGATTACGACCTTTACGGCGACTTCTTCCTCTAGTTTCAGTACTCAATGCTTGAACCTGAATTAGAAGCTGAAAGATTCTCTTGAATTTTTCCTGCGAACATCTTCGCTTAAGATCAAGTCACGGATGTTATCAAGCTTCAACTTGTTATTGCTTGCGAGAATTACTTACTGCGATAGTGATTGCACCCCAACTTTCAGGTAGAGATGATAATAAAATTAATGCTTTCACCTCATCATCAAATATTATACTCAGCTGATGTCAACTGCGCAATAATTGCATTAAATTCACTAATATGATTAGTAGCAGAGTTACCTTCACCCATTTTGAGGTTGACTAGCCTGTGAATCAAATGCACTTTATTGGCTGCAGAGGGCTTCTCATACATATTTGACAACGCTCGCATCAAATCTACGGTTGTCTTCTCGTTCATAATGTTGAGCGCAACATTCTTGGCTAATGTCGATCGGATCACACCAAGCGTCTGCCGATCTAACAACTCCCATTCTGATTGCTCCATGTCGGTTGGCTTACGCCTGTCAAGGGTAGATACAACTTCTTCGATACGAGATAATCTTCCATCTCGCATCTTCTAGAACCCGAAGTCACCGCCATCGAACTTCTCGATCCTCACCTTTCCTTCTTCCAATGCCATTGCTCTCACTGCTTTCGAAGAAAGCTCCCACTGCTTCTCTAAACTGAGATTCCCAAGAAAAAAGACCAAATCTTTTCGATGTGGAAGATCGAGACAAAGCTGCAACCACAGAGCATACTAAGAAAATTGGCTCTTGATACCAATTGTTAGGAACAAGACAATAATAAAGGAAAGAATAAAGGAGAGAAAAATAAACGACACAAGAATTTTAACGTGGTTCGGCTAAAATATGTATGCCTACGTCCACGACTACACTAGGAAGTATTTTTATTTCTGTGTGTATCTCAAACTTTACATAGGGTTGCTTATATAACAAAATAGAGAACCTCATCTCACAATCCTAATCGATGTGGGACTAAATCAAGCACCATAATACTAACAGTAATGATTCTATTGATCCTCACCCATCTGGTCTTGGTCCCCATGTACCCCTCCAACAATATGTTGAAAACATGAGGAACATTGCTAACCATCTTAAGGTAATAACTTAATCATCGACAAAAACGTCCATTCATAGCATGTTAAAAACATTGGAACACGAAATGCGTAACCTTCTAATCTAAAACGTAGAAAAATATATCAAATGTAAAACCGAATATATATATTCTTCAATTTACGGAATATTATTTTTGTCTTGTAATATTTGATGTTTGACGCCTATCAAATATATATTTGTCAGAGCCTCTCGGACCATGTTCGCATTATATTTCTCACCTCTCCTCCCATCAATGAAGAACAAATACACAAAAAACTCAGGTACATGATGATGGTGACTCTTGAACATACATGAACAAGTTTTACCAAAAGACACAAATTTCTTTCATTTCATTTTCCATCTTCAATAATAAACCAATTAGATCACATAATTAATTGGTTGTACCCCCACATGTTTTTTAATGAATATTTGGGCGCACTGAATGCAGTGCAACTCAATCAGGAAGAAGCAATGAGTCATGTGGAGTATATGCAGACGCATTAATGGAGCTTTGTGAAGAGATGGATTTGAAGGCTGTTAATCTCTGGTCTGCAATCCAGACAAGGGAAGATTGGTTAGACGTTAGCTTCACGTAAGTATATTATATACCCCTCTCTTCGAGGATTTTTTTTTCATTTGGTCACTATGAATCAGGAAACACTATTTGCGTGGAGTGAAAGCAAAAACTTGAGATATTTTCATTTGGTTTATGTTCTTAAACAAAACTAGAATATATTATCATAACCTATCACCCAATCACAAACTACGATGATAAACAGTATTAAAAAAAAATTAAGAGTGCCCATGGTATTTGACCAAATATTTTAGGGATTAAAATAATGACAGATCAAAGTCTCTTTTGAATAGCTCAGACTGATATGTGGATTAATTTCCTTCATTTGACTTTTGTTTTGTTAGGGATGGAGTTCATCTATCAGCAGAGGGAAGCAAGGTAGTGGTGAAGGAAATATTAAAAGTGCTAAGAGAAGTAGATTGGAAACCTAGTCTGCATTGGATGTCAATGCCGACAGAATATGCAGAAGATTCACCATATTATCCTCCCACTCCTGATGGAACAACAACCATAAATGTGTCTCACATTATCTCTCGAAGGTGTTTGCAGTGGGATATATAATATATACAACTATCTGTCTATCTATATACACAAAAGAGGCTCAATTATGTTGTGTGGAATGCAACCATATGATTATGAATGATAATTTACCTACCCTTTACTTTGTGTGAGCGTTTTTGTTATTCTATCGTAGTTTTCGTTCTGTAAGATGTTCTTAATTTTGTATTAATCAAATCATATTCCACTCAGTTTCCTCTCTATACTCCCTCTCGTTTTCTACTTTCGATCTCATGCATGCACACGAAGTTCATTGTGTCTGTTTATAGATACTCTGCTGCTTTGATTTCTGATCACAGTTACTAACAGTGATGGTGAATAAAAAAGACCAATAATTAGACAAATAATGCATTTTCCACTGTATGCGTGATAAGCCTTTTTACATATCTAAATGTGCATGCACGACATGATCATGCGGTGGGTAGAAAGATCCACATATCCTCCAGGAATCCTCCTAGTTGTCTATTTTCCATCGTGCCATGAGTTGACAATAAGGTGAGAAGGTGAAAATTCACACATATACGTAAAATCATTTTCACATACTACTCAATAATAGAACGTGAAGTTATGAGAGATTGATTATATACTTTAGGTGATGGTTACGTGAGGATATTTTTTATAAGTACTTTAAAAAAAATAAATGTACTTTTTCATAAATATAAGTTAATTTTAGTTAAAATTTCTATTTTTTTAAAATTTTATCCTCTTGAAAGACATTTTCCCTAACCTAATGTCTTTTTTCATGCTTAAAAAAGTTAAGACTTGTAGAATGACATTGCAAATGCTGATCGATCCAGTAAATACACAGTGGAGGATGTGTTAGTGAAGGTTCTTATTTCCTTTGGGTTTTGTTAATATTTCACGAAAACTGTCAAAGTGATTTGTAGAGGAAGTCAACGTTTATGAGATTTTGTTGATTTTCTGAATTTGAAAAAAAAAATCTTCAAATTCAAAATATATAATTACGATAAGTTGAAAAGGTTTCTAAATAATAAATTTATGAATTCAAACCATATTTTTTAAATTTATGAAAAAAATTCATTCGAAATTTGAAGAACTAAAATCTTAATTATATCCTAAAAAATGTTTAAGTAAAAAAGTACAGAGTTATAAAGATACTCATTAAATATTTATTATCAAAAGTTAAATGATTTTTCCCCTTTTTATTATGTTACGTTCGTTTACTTCTTTGTTATGTATTTTTACGATTTAAAATAATCTTCAAGCAACTTGAATAAAAAAATACATGTGTTCACGGGTTGAGCACTGATTACGCAACTTCTATTAAAGTCATTGAATAAAGTGATGATTTAAAAATATGTATGAAAAAAAAATCATTGAAATAAAATAAATTTTGGAAAAGCATGATTTGTCACGTAATTTGGCGATTTCCACGAATTGATGACGTTACCAAAATTGTGATGAAGCAAAGGAGACATTCAAAGGATTTTAATTCAGTTGTAAACAAGTTAAGTGCTCATACATGTTTTTTATTATTTTAATTTTAATATTACTTTCAATGTCACATTACATTAATATGACATGGATTTGAAGATAATATACGTACTATATATGAATAAGTATTAAGAAAAAATAATAATAAAATCAAATTGAAAAAAAAATTATTTAACCTTTAACATTGAAATATTCAAAAGTTATATTTTCATTATCAATAGTTTTCTAAATACAACACATATTCCTTAGTTATATGATCGATTTTAATGACTATTATATTAGTGGTGTTTAAAACTAATTAACTTTGATTCCTCATTTTAGAACCATTTCGCATCCTTTATTTATTAATTTTTAATTAGAATCATACACAAACTTAAATTTAAACAGTGTCGCTTATTAGAAAAGTTATCTGCATTTGCCATATTTTTTACTTAAACAAATTTATCTACTAATTGCTAAATTAGAAGAAAGAACACGTATCAATTGTACGAACTCTTTTTTTTTTTTCTCGTTCTGAATGTACCAACTTTGTGGTCAATGCACATCATATATCATGTAATCTCCAATTTTAAAAACCGTCGACTATATCATGTTAAGCATTGCGAAAATTTGTAGTGGCCTTTAATTATTATATTATGCTCAAATGATTAGTTGTTACGTAGTATCATATTACTAATTTTGATTCTTCAATTAAGAATATATTTTTTAAACTGATAATGAAGAATACTATAATGGAATCCCTGTGATAAAGTTAATGGAATCCCAATAATACAAACATAATTTATGTTAAAAGTTCTGAAATTCATCATTCGTATAAAATCGGTTCTTATCAGGAATCTGCCAAAATTATATCCATTCATATCTTCAAATTTCACCGAAAAATGTCTCCACCAAGCATGACATTGTTTCCCAAAGACTTTGTAACAAGCTGATCTTTTAATCCAATCCCAAAATTGCGAATTTTATTTTTGGTTTAGGGTTTTTGGTGAAGCTAGGGTTAAGGAGGATATAACATATGTTTTGAAGTGCAAAAAAGGGGGAGTTATTTTATAAAAGTTAAACCTTCTATTCACTTGAATGTGGTTTCCTTATTAATTTATGCTATTTTCATATAAATGTAATTTCTTCAAAATATCAAATATATATATATATATATATATATATATATATATATATATATATATATATAAGTGAAGTTCTTTTAGTGTTTAATATATTTTAATAGAATGCGTATTCCTTAATAATTGCTTTAAAAATATATCACAATAAATATAATGATATGAAACAAAAAACAATTATACTAATATTATCTGGAAAGTACTTTACTTAGTAAATTTATTAAAATGCTGAATAGGAACAGACTCACCAATGAACAACTTCAAAATAAAATATTTGAAAAAATATTAATTTATTTCACCAAGCACATGCTTATAACCAATTTAGACAAAAATATTTTAATAATAAAACGAAATAACTTTTGGTTATAAAAAAAAATTATTATAATGTGAAATCTCCTTATTATGATTCAACATAAAGTGTAGAGTCAACAATTATATCACATTTACTTAAATAATTAATATTTAATGTATTTAAGTTAAAGAAAACACATGCATAACTTGATACGCATGCTCTAAATATTTATCTTAGCAAAAAAAATGTAAAAGAAGATTGTTTCATACTTATCAACGTCTAAATGCACTTGTTAATGTTTTAAAGTGTAGCTTTTTATTATTATAGTAATATAAAATGCATAAAATTTGTTTTAAAAATACATTATTTTAAAATTCAGCACATGTCAATGAAACTTTATTTATTTTATTTGTTGCCCAACCCATATATTAATGAAGTGGTGTCATATTAATTAAGAAAATGCGATTACATTAAATAATTAAGAAAATAAAATCTCATATTAATTTCTGAAAATTAAGTTTTTATAGCGTCTGGTGTATCACTTAAAGTGTAAACTTGCAACACTGCATCCAGAAACCGTCACACAACATTGTTAATTGACATGGAAAGATATACTTTGAATAAAAAGAGTAAACTTTTTAGTAACACTTGTTAGATAATTAATTGACATGGCAAAACAAATATTTAATATTAACATCTTTAACCAATTAACAGTGTTTTTTGTTGTTTGGTGGAGCTGGCAGTGGAGTTGTCATCAATGTGTATTACTGAACCTCTTTTTCTGATATATATATATAAAAGTAACCAACGAATATACATATGTGAGTATCACCAAAAACATACGCAGAGGATATACATATGTTTTTCTTGTAGTGTTAGGTGTTATTTTTTGTTTGAATGTTAGGTCACATTATTTGTTTCAAGATTTAATTGTGACCTAAGATGATAGTATATATTAGTAGAGAAGAAAGCTTATCAGAAAAGAATGCTTATCAAGTTCAATTATTGCACCCAGACAAGAATATTCAGAATCCAATTATGGAACCTTTAATATTATGCTGGCTTGAACCCTGATGAAGTGGCAATATTATATACTATGATTGACAGATATATCCAGCAAATCAGATAGTGTGGCTGGGTCAAATTTTCATAAGAAATTTGAATTTACCATTTAATTAGGTCAATTGAAACAAAAAAAATTCAATAATGCTTGTTAAAAACACCTCAGGTAGTTTTCGAGTCACAATCCAACTCTTTCATTTTCGTTTTCTTTTTGTTATAGTTGATGTTTATTAGGATTTTAAATTTTGTATATAAACATTAAAATGTTTATATACAAAATTTAGCACGTATTTTTATAGTTTTTTTTTTTGTATAAAATATCGGTCCTTATAAATTTAATCCACTTAATAACACAATTAGTCACTATTTTAATAAGGAGATTTAGTCTAAAATCATTCATGTCCCCAGATAAGAATAATACTAATTTTAGTTCAACCTTGAGATGGAGATCATATCTAAATTCAATGTATACTAAAAGGAATTATAATAAGGTATTTTGTTTACTAAAAGGCTTTAATGAAGTGAAATATAAGTAAATATTCATAATGAATTTTAGAAAATTAAAATATTAGCTTTAATGTATAATTTAAAAAGTATTAATATTAACATTAAGGAGAGACCGTATTCAACATTAGTGAAATACAGGTGATAAGTCTAAGATTATATAGATATTTAGCGAACAAGATCAGTATTGAAATTGTTAAACACACTTATATTAGTTAATATGGATATTATATATATGTTATATAGGTCGGTGTGAAAACAAGTAACGATATTGAAGTATTCTGCCAATAGTAAACTAGCATTTCCTGAAAGATACTCAACGTTAACGTATTATTAATTGAAATAGATGTGTAAAGAAATTGTTTGAAGTGGTGAGTAATGAAGTCTTCTTTCTTGACACATATCCCTATGTTTTACCCTTTAGTATTCTCCAACGCAAATGAGCATAGGTGCATTTGCTTTTGTCTTTTTAAGACTATGTTAAGAACAAGTGTACAATCACAGGAATATTCAGAATCCAAATAAGAACCATTTTGAACAATATTCTATCCGTAGGGGTTGAGGCATGGAACATGATGAAATGGCAATATAATATGCCATAAAGAAGTTTTTCTGCCGACCAAAAACGTGGCAACACTAATCCGCATCTATAAAATGGATCTCCTTCTGAGTGTTATTTCATCACACATGAGCAGAGTGTAATTTCAATCGGCAAAGATGGTTGGCCCGCTCAGACCTCAGATTGTGCTCTTTGGCTCCTCTATAGTCCAGTTTAGTTTCGACAATGGTGGTTGGGGTGCTGTTCTGGCCAGTTTGTATGCTAGAAAGGTCTTTTTCTCTCCTCCATCATTTTAATTCTAACACTCGTCCCTTAGTTCCATAAGCACACAAACTATATATGTATATTTTAAGGTTTAGATTCAAGAAACTTATTACTAAACCTACAAATCTGAGAAAAGCTTTAGTTACTGTATCTAATGAATTTAACATTAAAAAAATATTATATTTGATCACTATCAGAAGATACCTAAGAGCTTGTGATTTATATATATCGTTAATTCTTTAAAATCCTTTGTTTTATAACACGTTGACGTGAACAGGCGGACATAGTATTGCGAGGATACTCAGGTTGGAATTCAAGGCAAGCTTTGGGCGTTCTGGATGAAGTTTTTCCCAAGGTACACAACAAACATGTTGAATGCCACATAGATTTCGTTTGTATAAATATGTCTATTTGATGTTCTTTTAAAAATGTCATTGAGTAATGTCACCTATCTATGAAGGTCAAGAAAGGGCTGAATTTGTTTACTGCATATTTGCAATGTGAATCTTGGGCGTGAACATGATATCTAAATTTTGTCTTTCACACAGCATGGACCAACATTCAGCAATTTGTCTCACTCAAATTCAATTTTCTTTTAATTTTCTTAACTATTAAGTTGTCTTCAAGTATTCTCTCCACACACACACGCACACAATAAGGTTAGCATTTAAGTTGTATTATTAATCTACAGATTCAAAAAGAATAATCATGTATGTCTGCGAAGTAAGAGATGTTGTTTTGTTCCGATTGTCCAAATGCATCATTTTGTTTCTATTGTTGACGGAAAGTTTCAGGTTTAGATATATAATATGTGCTGAGATCTATTTTTGTCCATGTAGATTGAAATGACAGTAGTGATGACCCTTTGTTATTTTCTTGAACTTAGGATGCTCCTGTGCAACCGTCATTGGTAATTGTGTACTTTGGTGGCAATGATTCCGTTCATCCTCACCCTTCTGGCCTTGGTCCTCACGTTCCCCTTGGAGAATATCTTGAAAACATGAGGAAGATTGCTAACCATCTTAAGGTAATAACTTAATCTTCCATCTCGTTATTCCTAACATGTTAAGAAAAACAGAATCATTTTTGAGACGAGAAAAATCATATGATGCTGCAATGTTTGACATGTATCAAAAATATGTTTGTCAGAGCCTCTCGGACCATATTCGCATTATATTTCTGACATCTCCTCCCATCAATGAAGAGCAAATCCGCAAAAAGCTCAGGTACTACATGCTTCCTATTTGCTTATTTCATTACTTTTTTTACTTACATTGTTTGTATAGAGTTATAGGTACGTGGTGTTTTTACACTAACACATAACATTTCTGCTAAAATTAACACGTTATCACTACATATCTCACCTCGATCCCCTTAAATTAAGTAGATAAAATTGTACTCCACAAGTTTTCTAATGAATCTTTGGCTGAACTGAATGCAGTGCAACGCAGTCAGGAAGAACCAATGAATCCTGTGGAAAATATGCAGAGGCGCTAATGGAGCTTAGTGAGGAGCTGAACATCAAGGCCATTAATCTGTGGTCAGCAATTCAGACAAGAGATGACTGGTTGGATGTTAGCTTCACGTAAGTACATATTCTCTCTCTCTCTCTCTCTCTCTCTCTCTCACTCACACACACACACACACACACAGCTTTTTCATTTGTTTTAGGAAAAGAAGATAATAATGTCATTGCAAATTAAAAAATGAATATAAAAATTATATCTTATTTGAATGGATCAAATAAGCATTTTTCATGGTTTTGGAAACTGATTGGTAATGTGTTATATTAGGGATGGAGTTCATCTATCAGCAGAGGGAAGCAAGGTAGTGGTGAAGGAAATATTAAGGGTTCTGAGGGAAGCAGATTGGAAGACTAGTTTGCATTGGATGTCAATGCCAACAGAATATGCAGAAGATTCACCGTATTATCCTCCCACTCCTGATGGAAAAACAACCATAAATGTGTCATACTCTATCTCGCGGAGGTTTTTGCAATGGGATATGTAGAAGCTGTATAATAATCTGCAGTTACCATGCATACCACAGAATGCTTCATTATAATTGGAGCCCCAGATAAGAGTTTGTAAGACGCTTTTCTAATGCTTTAAATAATATAAATCCTACCAACAAAACAAAGTGAATCGCGGTTAGTAGAATGTTGAGTCTCTCAAGTATATTGATGGAGACTCAATTCCTATAACATTGTGTATAAAAAAAAGAGAGATTATCCTTAGTGCAAAGCAAAAGTAAGGTCTTGATGATGATTAAAAAAAAGAGTTGCAAAATGGTATTGTACTGTGTGTTAAAATAATATAACTTTTATTAAAGAATTCTGTTCCTTGAAACTTTTATAATCATAAAAGAAAGAAAAGAAGATAAGGAACAAAGTGTATACAATATAAAATCTATAGATCTACATGCTATTGCATAAAGACATGCGAGATGGGTCAGAAATGAGGTACACCATCCCCAGCTATAAACTACACCAAATCATATTGCGTAACACTTAATCAATGAATAAAATATAACGATATTGCATTAGTCTAAGAAAATTCTTAATCCCAAAATGCACAGCAATCAATGAACTTAATGAATTCTTTTCAATTTTTGAGAAATTTTCCCATTTTCATGATATCTTTTTTGTTCAATTAAGATATGGCTTTCATGTAATTTAATCCAATTGGACAATTTTCACTTTTTGAATGACTCAGAAAAAGACTTCAAAATTTCCTCCAAACAATCTCTTTGAGGGTTTACTGAATTTCTATAAGAGCAATAATATATATAACCCTAGAAAAACATGTTATATTAATATAATATTATTAATATATAATAAGTGAATTGATAACTAAAAATAATAATAACAATAAATAATGGATAATTGATTCTTTGTTGAAAAATGAGTTATCAATCCATCTTTTGGAAGAATCTTGCCTTTCGAGTAATAATTCAGTCTCATAGTTTTCGAGCTGTGTTTTTGTGCTGAATGAACACCGAACATAGGTTAAAAATAAAAAGAAAAAGGTTTTTTTCTTTTCTTTTCTTTTCATTCTCTTCTCAATAAACACTCACTTCAATAACTTTTTTTATTTTATAAACTCTTTTTTCCATGATTATTACATAAATAAAATAGATTATTAAATGATTTTTTTTTGTCTATGATTCATTCTGTCGTGTATTCCTACTCATATTTTAAAGTAATTAAAATATAATAATAATAATAATAATAACTATTATTATTATTATTATTATTATTATTATTATTATTATTATTATTGTTTTACTTATTCACATAAAATTATGAGTGAGACAGACGTTTAATAAGACTATCATAACTTCAATTTTAGTCCACCATGTTTTCAATTTCTTATTTTAAATTAATCAAAATATAATAATAATTATTATAAAAAAAATTAAGAATATAATATTTATTTTTCATAAAATTAGATATGAAGAAACAAAGATAAAAATAAAGTTATATCATATATTAAACATAAAATTTAAAAAACAATTAATATTTATAAAATTTAATTATAAAAAAAATGTATGCTAGGAAAGATAATCTGTCAAAGAAGAAAAGGCAGAAGAGATAAAAAATAATTAAGAGATATAATATTCTATTTCAAAAATTAGAAAAAACAAAATCTACATAAAATGAGTGATAAATAGAAAATTCCATTAATTTAAAAAAATAAAAAATATTTAATATAACAAAGGAATTTAAATAATAATAAATAGATAAATAAAATATAAGAAAGATATCATGAGAGATTGTGCAAAATAAAATTCCTGAATTTGAGAGTAAGAAAAATAACAATATGCATTATATAATCTTTATCATCAAGTAATAAAAAAATATATTATCTCCTTAAATCTATTTTTTTAAGTGATATCTTTAAATGTATTATATTTTGAAGATGAGTAATTTTACTGTCTTATTTGTTATAGATGATAAATTATATGAGTGTACAAAGACGAATACTTAGATTGGTTTTGCAATACATTCAGTTTTGCTCGTGAATGGGAGTGAAGTCTACACTAGATTTACTTATATTATCTCAATGGTAAGCACTGCATCTAATATAATAATTTATAAGATTAAGGGGACACTTATTATTAAGGGATGTATTTGTATAGTTTCCCCTAATGAGTTTTTAAATATATAAGATTAAGAATAAAATAAAAAAAATTAAATATTTATTGATAACTTTAAAAAAATTAAGAAGTACACCTATATACTCTTATATATATCACTAAAAAAAAAACTATTATCTACAAAATATTACCTACGGATAAAAATCCGTAGGTAAACTATATATTACATACAAATATTATCTACGAAATTTTATCCGTGGGTAATTAAACATTATCTACGGATATTTTTCGTAGGTAATGTCATCTGTGGGTAATTTCGTAGGTAGTTTACCTACAGAATTACTATCCGTAGATAATTACCTACGAAATTACAATCCATATGCAAATTATATCACATTGTATGTAAGTTAATCATTACCTATAGATATTATTCATAGGTAATGTTGTTTGTGGGTAATTCTGTAGGTAATTACCTACAAAATTACTATCAGTAGGTAAATTATATCAAATTAAAAAATTGTAACTGACGTAATTTGAACTCAATACTTTAGAGTTGAAAACCGATTCTCCAACTATTAAATATATAAATATGTAAATATATAAATATATAAATATATCAAAATATATAAATATATCAAAATATATAAATATATGAATATATAAATATATATATTTTATATTTATATATTTACACGGATAAATATAAATATAATTTATTTGTAAGTTATTATTAGAATATCTTAATAACTTAGTGGTTGGAATATCAACATCCAATTTAAAGATATTAGGTTTGATTCCTGCCAGTGATAATTCTCTTAATCTAATAATATTTCAAAGTTCTAAAAATGTAATAAATAATATAATATAGGTATTACCTAATAGGATTTTTAGTATATAGATATATATATATATATATATATATATATTCTTTTGAAAAGAAATAATTTATTTTATAAAAATATATGTCTGTTGAGTTACATATTGTTAATGAGAAAAACAATTAAATTATAAGATGCCTGTTATAATATATTAATTAATTTAAAATATGAGGTTGAATACATGATTGTCAAAATGTTTCTCTTAATTTTATGGTTAAAAAATATATAAATAAATAACTTTTTATAATTTTTTATTCTTATTTCAAAATAAGATAAATATTTTAAATAAAATATCATCTTATCTCTTAATTATCTTTATCTCTTCTATTTATTATCTGGTAGCTTATCTTTTCTTACTTCTTTTTAAATATAATTTTTTTAACTTTTGTATTTAAATAAATATGATATAAATACTTTATGTTTATCTTTATTTTTAGTTATAAATTTGTATAAATTATTTTTCTAACTTTTGTATTCAAATAAAATTTTATGTTAATTTTGAATTCCTTTAATTTTTATATATACAATGTTATTTTGCTACTCTTATAGAAAAAAAAAAAGTATGTTTGTACCTCTTTTGGGCAATATTCTACCTTTATCACTAGAATGATACGTGGAAAAAATGTTTAAAAAGTTAATAAATCATAAAAAATTAAAATATAAAGGTTATATATAATAATAAAAAATTGTATATAAATATTATAGGAGTTATTTTAGATTGAAATAGTGTATTAGTAGAAAACTTTAACTTTTTTTTATTTAATTTTTAAGCTAAAATCATGCATAGGTTAACTAATTTATTATAGGAAATTTTTACTTTATTTTGTTTTTATTTTAGGAAGAATGTACGACTTTATTTAGGATTAGATTTTAATTATGTCATGTTAAAAAAATCTGCATGTAAACAAAATCTTTGGGAAATTATATAAAAATATTTACTTGATTTTTAATTATAAAATTTTGGTTATATGTTCCTTCATATGTCTAGTTCACGTGTGATTTATTTCAAAATTTTATAACAAGTAGTTTTTCCATGAAAATTCTTGGAAGTGATTAGGTTTTAAGTTGGGCGAAACAAAGTTGCTATGTCTACCCAGTAAGTTCGAAAAATCATATAAAATCGAGATTGAAGTTTTTTGAGATGAAATTTTTATCGTAGTTGTGATTGTATGTATATGTTAAGTATATTTAATTTTGTAATTTTATGACCATTATTTTATTTTATAAAAATATATCTTTGAGTACTGCCCTGGTAGTGGAATCTTCAAAACGATGTTATTCTGTTTTCATTTCATGTTGCTACTGCTACTATTATTTTATTTTATTGTTGCTACTGTCTATATTATTTTGGTGCAGAATTTGTGGGAATTATATGTTAAAATCCTTAAATGTAAGGAAAAAAAATACTTGAATTGTGATATGATGTAATTACATTATGAGTTTAGGTATGTTTGATCTGCGATGAGATGTATATGCATATGTGTGTATATAGGTGAGGGAACAATATGACTTCTTTGATAGCCATAAATTCAGAATGATTTTTTTACCTAGAGGACTTTGTCGAGTCATGGTAAAGGGGTTTTATTCCTCCGTAAGTCTTTAGCATGAACTTAGCAAGAGTGCTTCATCCAAGGCTTTGTCGAGTGAGTGGAGTTGTTGCTAGTAAGTCTATGGAAAGCAGGGGAAGGAACTTTTCCAATAGGCATTGATGCGCAGGAAAAGTATGGGGGTTAGCTATGAGAGAATTTTATACCGTCTGTTTTTACTTGGTGGTAATATGATAAAGTGTTATTGTTATAGTGTTGAAAATATGTACTTGTGGATATTATGAATGATTTTTGTTACATTATGATAATGCTAGGTGAATTATATGATGACATGAATGATATGTGATGAGATACATGTTTGGCTCACCCTTGCATGTTTGTGGTGTTGGTTTTCACCTGCGATGATCGTATGACTTGTGTTAGGTGGGAGTAGATGTTGATGCAGATACTGTTAGAGAAGTTTAGCGGTGAGAAACTCGTGAGGAAG